GATTTGCACAATTTCTATTTATTTATTAATTTGCTTCCCCTCTCGCCACAGCCAGCTCTGGCTGGCTTACAACATAAACAATTGTTTGATTTTTAGACTATCCCGGGGATGCAGGTCTCCAACGCTATCACATTTAGCTACTGAATTTACCTCTAAGAGGCCGGCCACCACCTTCACTTTGTTTCAGAACAGATAATAAAAAGGAAGATACCTCTATTCATTGCAGAATTGTATTATTTCACAAACTCATCTAATTCATTCTGTGTAAAGGCATTCTGTAAGGTCATCCACTTGTTTAATATTTAACCTATGGGGAGAACTGAATTTTGAATGTATTGATTTTGTATTGACCGGGTCCCAGAGTCCAACTTCCAAGCAAGTATGCTTAAGTGCCTTTCTCCTTTTGAAATTAGTGGACTTCACTATAATTGTTTTGTGTTTCAGTGGCATTAAGGGACTTTTAGAAAAGCACACTGTAGTGATAAATTATTTTTAAGTTATATTCCTGTCTTCTCCCTCTTCCTAGTTTAGAAAGCAGCTGGTACATTCCTGAACCACCCAAATACCCAAAGAGGAAGATAACAAATTAAATCAAGGAGCAGGCAGGCAAACCCTTGACTCTGTTTGTAAATAAATCTGAATCTACTTCTGAGGGAATTCTCTTACAAGTCCAATGTTTGGCACCCATCCATCCATATTTTCCAGCCACTGGGTCATCCTTGTAGAAATTTCTTAACACAACACCTGGCCTCTCTGAAGCCAGCTGACTACCCCTCCTGCCCAGCTCAGTTTCCATCTTGTTCACCCCAGATAATTGCAGCAGCCATGAGTCAGGTTGTATTAATGATCTATAGATCCCAGGTCACCCATTGCGCTTAAGACTTGGATTGCAACACTCCATTACTATTGGCTATCCAAGGGCAGAGCTTCCATCCGTACAGCCATAAATCTAGCCTCGTTGGGCCATCACTCAGCCGCACTCTGCCTGTCCATCTTCACCTGCCTGTGGGTCTTTTGTATTTTACATTTCTAATTAAATAAAATTACACACACACGACACCCGAGACAGACACACACTGGGAAAGAAAGGGCGGAGGGATAATGAATTCCTCAATGATTTGCTGTTATATTTTAAAGGGTCCATAAAAGCCAAGGGTGATAAAAATTGATTTTGTCGTTATCTGCTCCAGTGCTGGAACAGGAAAAGCTGTTCCCTCCTTCCCAGGCATGCTGGTTTCCCCAGCTGGGATTTGGCTATGGTGAGGAGTTACAGCAAACTGGGACTTACTGGGTAGGAATTAACAGGCACGGCTGAAGTAGTTTTTCTGGACCAGGCCAGAAATACTTCTATGGGCTTCTCAAAATAACAGGGAGCAGAGATGGTAGAATGCACTGATGCTGCATAGATGTGAACTGCACGGATGAAAGAGCACATACATACTGAACAGAATGCAAGGATTGGTTTTACTAATTGGGATTTTATATGTGCTGGCGCCGAGGATGAGGAGGATGGAGATGATCCTGGATGTACTAGATCCCCTGCAGGACATTCCCTGATTCTTTGCCTCCTTCTTTCTGCATGGAAAGTGACTTCCTGAGAGAAGTTAAGATTTAGCTCACTTAAGCTCCGCTTTCTAACCTCATCAGATATATTAGATGGGATTGCAGGCGATGGACTTTGCCATGGGCATCACTTTCCCCTAAGGGAGGGCTGCCCTTCTTTACTCTTGTCACCCTGGCTCTTGTTTCTTTCTTTTTTTTCCCCTGTGGGAGAGGAGAAAAGAGGGGATGCTACCATTGAGGTCCATGGGCTGCCATTCTCAGCTCATCTGTTCTTTCTGTTTGTCGCATGCAGAAACACACTGACCAGGGCTCTGGAGGTAGGAGTGGCCTTAGGATGGTCGATCCACCCCATCCACTTCACCTAGCTTGGATTGTAAGACAAGGCATAGATTTCAAGTCCAAGTTTCCCCAGGTTGGGAAACATTGAAGTGGGCAATCTGCAAGAATGACTGATACAGAATAGTTTTACTTGCTTGCTTAATTTACTTGCCGCCTGGCCTCAGCGTGAGGCTACTTTTAGGTGGCTTACAACAATAAAAAGAAAGAAAGAGTGTAAACAGAAGTAAAATAACAGAGCGATAGAATAAACAACGAAATAGAACACAACGAGAATACATCAATAGGATAACCAAAGGGATGGATGGGTGGAGAGCAGAGTGTGTGTAGAGGAGGTGAAGTCTGCCATCAATCCAGCAGCCACTTCTGGGGTGGAAAACCCACCCACCCCCATTTGGTCCTCAGGACAATCATCAGAGCCAAGTTTTCAGGCTCTTGCAGGAGGATAGAAGGATGGGGTCAGGTATTCCCTCAAAAGGTAAGATGTTCCAAAGGGCAGGCGATGCAGCAGAGAAGGCTCTTCTTCTGGACTCTGATCAGTTGGGAGTTCTTTTGAACAAATCGATCCGAAGGAGGCCCTCTCTGCCAGCATGAGTAGGACAGGTTTGTTCATTAGGTTCCAAATTCAAGCAGCCTTCACTTGAACCAAAGTCTATTGGCAATCGTAGTTTTCTGTCTGGCTATATGAGAAGGAAAAGGAATACCAAAAAGAAAAAAAAAGTTGATGCTCACGTGCCCCCCGCCCGCCCCCCCCCCCCCCCCCCCCCCGCGCAAAGCTTCCTTCAGTCTCACTCACCTTCTACCAGTTCGGCCCGGTTCTGGCATACTGGTAGCACCAAAGATCAGCTGGCAGAGAACCGGTTCTCTCCGAGCCTCTCCGACACTCTGCAGTTGGATCCACTCACCTGCCCCTGCTCCTAGGTCCTGTTTAACCTCTCAGCTGTTTGGTGCAGCAGAGGAGATTGCTGAGCTAAACAGTTGAGGGGTGCAGTAGCTTAGTTTTTACTGTTTTAACATGCGTGCAAGTGTTGCGTGAGCAGTGTTGACCCTTCCTGCAGCCACGCCCACCAAGCCACGCCCACAGAACCAGTGGTGGGAACTTTTGAATCCCACCACTGCCACTTGCCATCAGCAATGTGCAGCAGGACCCTCAAAGAGAAAAAAAAATAAATCACGTTTTCCAAACCATAAATTTGCTCAACTCAACAAACAACAAAAACCGGTGGGTTGCAGAAAGACCGCATTTTATTAGAATAGCTGCAACATGTCATATAAATATAAATATATACATATATATATATACACCCTATACATAGACTTGGGAAAGGTCAAGGCTGGGGGAAAGGGTGATTATTGCTCTGAGCGGCTATTATATTTAGAGGGGGGAAAAACCCTCAACTGTTTAGGGAAAGGAAAAAAACAACAACAGATGAGAACATAAAGCCACAAATGCAGGTAACAATGAAAAGGATTTCCAAAAAAATAAGTGAATATATAGCTATCAGACCTGTGCTGTGAGTGCTTAGTTGTCTGATAGATGGCAGCAAAGATACAAAAAAACAACAACAACCCTCTAACTCTTTGCTACCATCTAGTGGTCATTCTAACTTCCATCCTGGATCTGATAGCTGTTCAGGCATGAAGGGGCATTTTGTAGCATTATATCTTCAAAAGGCACAGTCCCTAGAGAGGTATCGGTCTCTCTCCTTCTGTATCGATACAGCAGGACCTGGATCTTACATTCCTCTCTTGTGACTCAAATGAGAGGTCGAAAGGCAGAAGCAAGAAGAAACCGCAATCCACCCATTCCAACTCACAATTGGAAGGAAGCAAATGCAAAATTATATATATATATATATATA